CATGGTTATCTCTCTCGTCTACACAGCCTGTTAGTGTGGTAAACTATAATTCCTCACTTTATTTAGTGCTGTTTTACTAAAAAAAAACATGTTTTCTTGTGCAACATTATTGTCCATATGTGGGCGTGACGCCCTGACCCAGGAGCCTTTTCACTAACAGAGATCAGATTGGGGAACAGAACCTCCCTCCTTTATTCCTATGACTGCGTGACATTCAGCAAACAAACACCATCATCACATATGTGGAAGACGGCACAGCTCTGGGTTTAATAACTAAGGATGATGACACAGCTCACAGGACCCTTGTACATTTAAGCTCTAATAACAACCTCAATATCAGCAGGTACAAAGAGCTCATTGTGGACTTGAGGAAGTCAAAAGCTGCAAACACATTCCCACATACATGAACAACGTTGGGCTGCAAAGTGCATTAATGTAACTGCATCGTGTCCATTCTTAATGTAAACATTAATATTTTTAATAATGCACCAGTATAATATATCTGACTAAACTGATATCCAATCGAATCGATTCAGGAAATCAGTGGCAATACCCAGCCCTAGTTTACACCTCTGGAGACAGCTGTTGGTTAGTAAAGGAAAGAAGTTTGATGCTGAACTCACAATGTTTCGTCTAGACTGGTAAGTAAACAGAACAAACAAATCAAAATTGCTATTGCTACACAGTCAATGTTAGCATTAACGGCTGTTTACTTACCAGTCTTGAGAAGAGCTTCAGCCATTGTTTAATTTACAATACAAGAGGTTATAATTCTTCTCTGAGCAGCTACTAGGGCAGCCTGGATGCTACAGTGACTCGGTATCAGAAAGTGATTAGATGGTCCAGCCATATTGGGGCTAGCTTGTTAGCATGCTAACTTCAGTAGAAGAAAATAAGTGATAGAAATAGAAGCAAAACAAGAGTTAACGTTGGTGTTTCTTTCCACCTCTGGGAACAATGTTTTTTTTTTTTATCATTTTCTGATAACGAGCCACTGTAAGGCTGGTTTTAACCAGAGTCACTCTTTGTTCACAGGGGATATTTCCTGCAGCTTTTCAAACAGCTAGTTAAACCACTACTCTAAAAACTTTAGCTATTTCTTTTTTTTTTAGTTAGTTTTCTCCATTTCACACAGCACTGCACTCTACATGTTATACACTGTCTTACCTCTGCACCCATCTACTTCCCACACCTTCTATATATTATTTTCTACTTCAAGAAAAAAAATCATCTGAAGAGTTTTAAAATTCAACCATCAAGGGAACCAGAACACAAAGATACTGTGATGTTCATATATTTTAAGTGCTGGTCCCACTGGTTCTTTACTTTCATACTAACTCAGTGAGTAGAAATGTTTTAAATATATAAATGTCTCCACTGTCTCTGACGGCAGGAGACTTCTACATGACTCAGAAAGTCAGTAAAGTTCATACTCACTCCAAACTTTTTTTTCAGGTCACAGAGGCTGTATTCTGTGTCTGTAAATCTTTCACCTGGTGAAAAACAACATACACACTAGGGATGTGTACAATTAGTCGACGATTAAACCTTGCTATCCTCACAAGTTGGCACCAGAAATATTAGTTGGTTAAACTAATTATTAATATTTTATTAATGTACAACGGAAGTAAACTGTTTAGTTTTACTACTGTCTAAGATGTTACGTAGCCGTCCATCAGGAGCTGGGACAGCAGCCCCCCATTGCCAACATTAGCCACACTCTGGAAAACATGACATTGCTTACCTGTAGACGCAATGATCCCAATCAAATTCTGCTCAATTACTTTTAAACAAGTTGAGTGGTTTCAATTAAAATTTTAGTTTAATTGACAGAGAAATTAGTTGTTATCAGCATCCCACACTAATGACCGATGCTGATATTTAGAGAGCAGGGTGGCCGATGGTCGATATGTAAAGTCGATATCTTTTTTTTTTTTTTTTTTGAATCTGATAAAATACAAGAATTAACAATAGCAAATAAAACACAAAACAGCTGAATGTAACATTTGCTGAACATTTATTGAACACTGTTGTTTGCATCGTCTGCAAATAGATCTGCACTCTGCAGTGTGCTTATTCTGAATGAAAAAATGAATAAATGTCCACAGCGAAACTTGTAAAAAAAACATATGAATGAAAAATAAATAAAGTTTTAGTGCAATTGAGAGAGAACAAAAAATTGTAAACTTACATAAATAAAAAAACAAAACAATATAGCAGCATCTCTTTGTTTTGAGTTAAAGTCCCAGTTAAACAAAGTTACGCAGTAGTCCCAGTTTATGAGCTGCAAGTTACTGCAGGAAACAAAGTTTCTCAGCATTTTCCCCACTGAGCCTTTTCTTCTAATAAATGGTCCCAATCTCACTGAATATTCTGTCACTGGGAACAGAGTCTCTGTCTGTGGTGTCTGCAAAAATGTTTTGTTTAATCGGCCTTGTGAGCATTTTATTTGGCTGATGCCGATTATGAAAAAATGCCATTAATCCCCTGCTGATTAATCAGTCTACCACTATCCCACACTAGGTCTGAACAATTAATCAAAATATTATCAAAATCGCAAATATGACCACAACAGACCATAAATGAACCATAAATGAAGCGTTATGGTGCTACAGAGATGGCCTACAGATCATATTCTCCAGATACAGGGGAACATGCCACATGGAACACAAATCACATCATCATCATTTGATGTCATGACATGTGGAGTTTACTGCATGTTTAGCAAGTTATGTTGCAGGGTCAGACTTGTCACTGTGTCACTGCAAATGTCAGTGTGCAGCTCCATTCAGCAAATAGCTACAGAGCGTGCTGAAAGATGAGCAATAAAAATCATACTGGGATGGTGATTGGAGTCTTGATTTCAGTGGGAATGGTCATTTTTGCATTTCAGTTTTTTTTTATTATATTGCACTTGGCCATATTGATATTTCGATAATATACGCGTTCAAATGCTGACCTACAATTAAATCCATCTGCTGATAGTGAACTGCTCAGGAAGCTGTCTTAAAAGATCTGTACAAATGAAGTATGTAATTAATTCTGCAAATCATTTGGTAACCATGGTAATGCATCTGCGCATCAGCACGTGTGCAGGAATTCAACCAAGATTGTATCCTACACTGTGTACTTGTTCATTAAACCGTGTATGATCCCATAGTTATAGAGCTGTACAAGTCATCGCTCACTCATCCTGTCTGATGATACTCATAAATAATTATTCCTCGGTGAGCTCTTTGTGACTCCAGAGAACACAAACATACAGTACAGACTGATCAGATGGAATTTGATTCAACCCATGGGTTCATGTAGTGCATGGTGATGGAATATAATCTAAGCCAATATCAAATAAATAAATAAAAACAGCTACGAAATAAATCCTAAAATAAATAAATTAGGAAATAAATGTAGAAATATATAAATAAATGTAAATATAAATATATAAGAGAGTCAATAAATAAATGAATAAAAAATAAATAAAATAAAAATAATAAATAATAAATATATATTTTTATTTTAGAAATATTTTATTTATTTATCTCAGGGGACTTTTATTTCCTAATGCCATATTTATTTCCCAGCCCTTTTTATTTCCATCTGTTGTATTCATATGAGAGGACGTGGTTACCTCACAGATTCAGACCAAAGCAACAGCTCCAGAACAGCACTGAATCACACACTATTTATTTATTTATTTATACATTTCTGCATTTATTAGCTAACTTATTTATTTATTATTGATTTAGATGGCATTACATAGAAATACACACACACACACACACACACACACACACACACACACACACACACACACACACACACACACACACACACACAACTTTGGTTTGATAAGGCAAACTCTATTCTATCATGTATTATTGAACAAATTTTAAATTTTTTTGTGTTAAACTGGTACAGTGGTACAGTTACTGTACATGAAGGCTGAGTGAGAAACATGCTTGTCAACATAAACAGACCTGAGGGCAGCTGAAGGCATTAGTGAGCAGTAATACTCAGCTAATCTTTATCCTGCTGCTGACCAGAATATCCTCAGTCTGCTCAGTACAAAGCACCAACACCTTTGTTGGCAGTGTTGTCATTGACTATTTTTAAACCACTCATTAGACATCTACAGTGTCCAACAGATATCTTCATGCAAAGACACAGAATGCTCTGCTGACTGCAACGTTTTTGCAACAATTTTACATCAGTCAGTATATGGAGGAGTGAGGCTGTGGGAGCAACACAACATGATCCCCTCACCTTCACAGCATCTATTCAAAGTCATTTCAATGAGGAGATCAAGTTTTTGAGGTTCAAATCAAAAAGATTGTGTTTTTCATCTGTGAAAATAAACTTCTCTCTGAAAAAAAGATGCCGAGCGTATCCACACACACTAATGTCTTGTTAAGCTGTGAGATAAGAGTGCCTTCTCTTGGTTTTATGAATTTTTGATGACAAGTATTCAGCCTGTTTTAGATGCTGTCTCTCTTTTCTTTTCTAAATGCTCTGCATTTAACTTTAACTGAAGAAACAGAGAAATACACACACATACACACAAACCTGCATTAACAAGCTGATGATTACTTTTAAATTTCAATGGAAATGAACAACCATCCACCACAGGCCTGCAGTCAGCTACACCGTGACAGTGTGAGGTTTTTTAAAAGACAAAAGGTGTTAAAACAGAATAAAACCAAATTTTACCTTTGACTTTTTAATGTAATCTGATGACATTCATCTTATTTGTTAAACTGATTTAAAGTAACGTGACAACCAGGCCCTGTCTCATTATGATAAGTTGTGAAAACAAACACTATGATTTCTGTTTGGTTGTAATCAATTAAAAATAATTAATGCATAATGTCCACCCATTAGCTTCATTGAACTAATTATAATGCTGTATTATACAATATGCCTAAACTTTATGGTCATATCACAGACATAAATTGTCAATATTGTTTCAAGCTGTCAGCCGTGCACACCGGTCCGGTACTCACCGTAGTAGAGACCCGGTGCTGCGGCTGCAGCGGCGGTCTCGCTCTGTACGGCGGCTGCAGGGCTCGGGTTGTACCGGTGGGGCGCCATGACGCGCGGTGCTGTCGGTGGACAAAGGGGAAGGTGAATGAAGAAGCAGCTGACTGAGCGAGTAGTTTGTAAGATTCTCCTCCTCCTCCTCCTCCTCCCCCTCCTCCACTCCACGTCACACCTATTCCACGCTCGCTCTGTGTGGAGACGTCAAGCCAAACTAATTTAGCCAGATTAGTCCTGCGGCTCTACCGCCTCTTACTACTATACAGACAGATGACAACAAACCAACATAAAGGTTTTCAGTCAGGTGTTGTTCCACCACGTGCTGCCAGAACATCTTCACTGTTCCAAGACTCTGAACTCCACGAAAGGGGCAAACCATTCTGATTGATTGATTGATTGATTGATTGATTGACTTTATTGTCCACTTCAGTGGAAATTTGTCTTTGGCTTCTCCCAAGGAAAGTACAATAAAAATGCAAATAATCAACCCCCCCCCCCCCCCCCAAGAAACACATAACACAACACACCATTAAAAACATGTACAATGCCAATGAGCAGGTAGCAGCAGATGGGTTAAATAAATAAATACCAGAGAGCAGATCTTATAAAAGACAAGTAACAAATGCTCCCTGATATAGTCATGTTGTGTTCAAAACGGAATGAAAGACTTGTTTTATATGTTCCGGTTGGTCCTTGGGGCCCTGAATCGACGGCCAGACAGAAGCAGTTCAAATTGGGTGTGAGGTGTCAGCAGCTATGTGTTTATCTTCCCTGTGAACAGCAATGTCAAATATATTGCAAAGGTGTTTTTGTGAGACACCTTCCCTGCAATCTGAACTATTTTGGAGAGCATGCTTTTGCTCTTTGCGCTCTTCCTGAAGATATTCCCTCATGGTGTTTAGATGATGGTGGTGGAGCATATGATTTACATCATTTTCATACTCATCAGACCATCAGTGACCCCTCATGACCTGTGGGTGGAGACACTGTCATCTTGTCTCTCCACTCATTTATTTTTCCTTTAATTTGTCACCATCTGTCTTCACTCTACATAAAACTCTAACCCTGATTGAGCCAGACTATCTGATAATGAGAAACACTCCTCCTGTAAGAAACAAGCCCACATGTCGTCTGTGCAGCTGGTTATTATGACCCATAGTTAGGTTTTGTTGCTAGGTGACATCTAGTGGTCGTAGTTATGATGACAGGAGCAAAGGGAAAAGTGCCGTGATGTAGTATAAAGAGAGACAAAGTCCTCGTGAGGAGGAGGCTGTGGTGGATGGATGAATATGACACAGGAGAGCGCTGTTCCATTCCCACGTGAAAGTAGCAGTTTATATTATAACCATGACAACAAAGGTCGTCTAATGTTGAGGAAGTACTAATTTTAACCCAAATAATGATATTTTCGCAAATCTAACCAAGCCATGACCATTATTATAGGAACCATGGCGACACAAATGCAGGTACGCCGCTGTTGGTACAGTCTGCGTGTTTATTGTTGTAACTACGAGAACCAAGGTCTGCCACCCTAGAGGCGCTATTTCAGGAGACACTGCTTGGGTTGTATCAGAGGGTTGATGGATGTTCAGGTTGGAGCAGATGTTGGGTAATGACTATTCATTATTTTTTAAGTAAGAATATGAATAAGTCTGACCAAAAGTCTAGAAACCATTCATTAGCAATGTCATTGATTCACATTTAAAAACACTAATGGTATTACTTAATTACTAAAATGAACTCCTGATCTACAAATCAAATAGAGTAATAGTGTTTCAGCACTATAGACTACATACTATATGTAGGATGGGTGTATCAGTGTAGATGGATGGGTCTGATTTTTCTTGTTCTGATACACCTACATTAAAGACACAGACTCATAGCTCTCAGAGCCCTTACTATATCCACTGTCTCTCCCCTGTCTGCTCAGACCGGATCTTTGACTAGCTCTGCAGCACTGCCCCCTGCAGGTTGAGTGGTAGTGACACACTTTTAACATAAATCTTTTTGTGATGCGCATCATCAGTGATGTATCCTGGGGTCATCGGGTGTTTCGGGTCTGTCAACATCAGACAACCTCACAGAGGTGATCCAACCATTGTTGCTCAAGCCCCAGCTTATGTCCAGTTAGTGCTACCCCACCCACAGCTCTCCCTTCCTGATCAAGAACTTCTGTTGCCTATGTGACCAACTTGATGACCCTCTGCCTACTGGCCCCTGTGATTCCCAGCATGTCCAGCATGTCCAGCATCCACTAGCTCAGCCTCTTCCTCTCATTTCTCTTCAAAGTGGTCCTCCATGAACGAGTGAATTCACAGAGGATGATGTGCTTGGAGACTTCTGAGATAAGCAGCACTTCCCATTTCAGTTGCTTCTCCAGGTTTCTCAGTAACGTCCATCCTGCATTTGTCATTTTCTTGTTTTATTCATCCTATGTTGAGATAAGGTTAGAGGCCAGGCTTCATGGTATATTGTAGCCTACAGTAAATTTCACACTGACTGGCAAAGCAAAAAAGTGATTTTCTTATGATATTAGATTGTCCAGTCACGATGGGAGGAGGTAATATGGATTAAAACATAAATTTTCCAGCAAATTCAGCCCTTACAAACATTTAGTCTGTACATGTGCAGCAAACTTGAATTAAATATCAAGAAGAGGCTGATATTTTAAAACAGAATGATTGATATTTTATTGCAGCTTACATAAATTAACATTTATGAATATTAATAAATTATGTAAACAAATATTTGACACATACATTTTTCCTTTACACTTCACCCAAACACTTGGGCGGCACCCACATTGCCCCTGATGGCTGTTCCATCAGTGTATAAGTGATATGTCTGTGATGTGTGAATGGGGCAAATATTGTAAAGCTCTTTGAGTGGCCAGTAAGACGGGAAAATAAGTGCAAGTTACCATTCACTACAGAAATTCACCGCAGAAGAGTGAGAAGGGATGTCATACCAAGAGCTTCCACTAGGTGGCAGCAGCAACACAGACAGTACAAACATGAACTGTGACACAATCCTTTACTGACAATCATGATTGAGAAAAGGAAAACAGACAAACGGTAATTTTTCAGTGCAGCAAAACGCCAAGTAAGCTCCCAGTAATATCAAAAGTAATTTGATGAAATATTCATCAATTTTCAAGAAAGGAATGAATTGCTTATGTTAATGTTAAAAATAACGGTGTCAAGGAGAGAGGAGACAAAGGAGACAGACAGAGAGCTGGGCACAGAGAGACAGGGACAGTCAGACAGTCTGGAGTCGCATGTACAGTTTGCTCAGCTTTTGTTCAACAGTGTTTTTGTGAAGTCTGACTGTCCAGTAGAGATGCTTCAATATAGCCTAAACATAATTTTACAGTCTGACAATGGCCCTTTTAAGTGTTAGTTATGGAAAACACAGTTATTTCTATTCCAGGAGAAGGACAATTCAGGGACAGTGAGAGTGGTGGAATCGTCAGAACCGGGGAAAGAGCCTGAGACTGCCGATCATGAGGATGATATTGCCAGTGCAGCACAGGAAACAGGGGCACAGCTTGTTTTAGTTGAGACCTCAGTGACTGTACAAACCATACAAAACACATCCTCAAGGTATCAAAAAACAAAATCTTGCTAACAATTCAATGACATTTCAAGAGAAATGGTTTGAAGATTTTCCATGGCTACGTGACATGAGTCCATCAGTGAAAGGAGTCTTGTGTTTTTACTGCAAAAAGGGATTTTCAAACCAATCCTCTTTTGGACAAAGATCTGATGCTGCTTTCATTAGTACAGGCTTCAGAAATTGGAAAAAAGCCATTGAAAAATTTACAGCACACCAAAACTCCTAAGTGAGACTTGCTGCCCATGCCACATTTTTCACACCACAGACAAATATTTTATATCACTGCGTTCAGCAGAGTCTCCTCTCTCAGAAAATATATACCTCTATGTGTTAACAGCTATGATCTATTACTGGTAAGCCAGAGGTCAAGATATATCTTTCAATTGAATCCATGTCTCATTTGAAGAAACTATGCAGTTAAAATCACCATGGAAACCTCTGAGTGCAGGGGTAGGTTCACAGTGGGTTCAAATCAGCTGATTAGAGACTCCTCTGATATCTGTGGTGTTTATCAACCACTTCACTGACATTTCTGCCAAAGTCCAGCTACAGACTGCTCCAACACTAAATAAGGACAATGATTTACACACCTCTCAACTGTTTTCACTGGAAACTGCTTCTAATTAGCTGTGTCTGAATTCAAGGGCTTCATCCTTTGGAGGCTGGATTTGAAGATCGATTGCGTCACAGCACCATGAATAGGCTCTCTTTAAACTCAGTTTAGTTTTTACTGTAAACCAAGATTAAATTTAATTCTGTTTCACCAAAACTCCAATTTAAACTGTGATCTAGGGTTCACTTTAAACCGCCAGTTTAACTTTTGCAGGCTGGATTGCACCAACAAGGTTTAACTTTTAAACCAGATTAAATCATGGTTTAAATTGAAATTCTGTTGCACCAAACTGGTTTAAAATCAAGAAAGTTTAAATACATCAATATTTAAACCGCCAGTTGAGGAAATTTAAGTTTTACAATGGCTGCGATTTTGAGATGAATTGACCAAAATCAAGTTCCTCAAAGAAAATTGAGAGACAGACTCAACCCACTTGAGTTTTATGATGAAGATGAATTTTTGTCAAGATACTGGTTCACAAAGGAAACTGCTTTGGAGCTGAACAGGAGGATTGGGCCAACTGTAAAAAACATGGCAGTGACAGAAACGCAGCTGTACCACTGATGCTCCAATTCCTGGTGGCCCTGAGATGCTACGCTACTGGTTGTTTCCAGAGGGTGGATGGAGACCTGTTCAGCCTACACAACTCAACTGTTTGCCGAACTGTCAGCAGAGGCCCTCGTCCTGTGATGAACATCTCCCATTTCACACTAGCCGGGTCTTTTTTGGCTTTTGTCTTCATGTCTTTCCAACCAGCTTTAAGCTGAGTGATATTATTTCTTTCACTCTGAACAGTCAGCCAGTTGCTGCCAAGCAGACTCTTTCT